AGTTTGATTTTGTGTCTCCCTGTCAGTCTGAATCATCCTCTTGATACTCTGTGCCAATCTATTCATATGTTTCCAGTTAGCGACATGCTGGAACATATGGAGGACGATACCAGCAACAACCCGATGCAAAGAAAATGCGCGCGCAGCCGCGCAAGCAGTCTTTTTCATGGCAGTATTGCGTGCTATCGCGCGCTAATTAAACCCCGCCCATCCGCATTTACTTCTCAGACATTTGTCCAAAGTTAATGTGAGACCGGACCATCCTCATTTGGCAAACTCGAGCGTGTGCTCAGTGCTAAGTGCATGCCAGAGCATGACAGGAATCATGTTGCCCCCGAGCCGACAAAGTATATAGATTGAAAGATCTGAAGACGCAAGATATCGCAAGATATCGCAAGATATCGCAAGCTTCCTCAACAGGTAACTGGTAACTTGGGGTTCAGCTTCCAACCCCTTGTCCAGTGGCGTCCCGGAAGCTGGAGCCTGTATCACCTGTCCTCTAGTTACCATTTTCCGTGTGTGACGCAAGGTTTCTAGCGAGAAGACCTTTTGCTTTCAAGCTGTGTTAGAGACAACACGAGTTTTACAAGCGCTTAAGTCGAGAACCTCCTTCCCCAACATACTTCATTATTTCTATTTGCTTCCCCAGCATATTTCTACTAGTTACTAGTAACTCTTAGTATTTGGATGTTTGGACAGGGCCTGTAGTGATTGGATGTTATTGGCCCCTTTCCAACCTGCAGGCATGAGGTTGGCCAGTTTCCTGTAGGTCCTGTATTTTGGAGTTTCCTGTCGCCTTGTGATACTGACTGACCTGAAGGAGGTTGCCTTATCCACCAAGTGCCTTGCAGTTGATTTGACCGGAACCCCTGGTGTTTTTTTCTAAGAGATACATTTGCTTTAAAAAACATGTAGCCAGGCGTTAGTTCCCTCCTCAACGTGATGAGGTTTGGTTAGGTTTCGCTGACGGATATTCCAAGTTTTGAAACAATCCAAGGTAGGCTCACAGCAGGGTTCTTGTTGAGCCATGCTAGCATTCCCCTTTCAAAAGCGAGCACGTGAGATTGCACGACGCCTCGTGACACCTGCGGAGTTACTCCCATAGAAGTGGTTTCATCAACCCGAGGCAGCGCTGCCCTGCGATGTTCGGGTCGGCAGGCGGGGGGGACAGCAGGGGTGTGCTCTCTCAGAGATGATGACATACAGCGATAGTGGAACCATCAGGGACCACGTGAGGCAGCTGCCCATTCAAAGGTTGTGATCTGAGCTACAGCCAAAATTTATGTCACTGGAGAGTAATTAGTCGAAGGAAGTTTAGAAGCCATACTGTACTTCCAAAAATATGGACAGATGAAAAAGCAGAGGTGGGAAGAGTCAGAGAAGAGAAGAGAAGAGCAGAGAAGAGAAGAGAAGAGAAAAGAGAAGAGAAGAGAAGAGAAGAGAAGAGAAGAGAAAAGAGAAGAGAAGAGAAAAGAGAAGAGAAGAGAAAAGAGAAGAGAAGAGAAAAGAGAAGAGAAGAGAAAAGAGAAGAGAAGAGAAAAGAGAAGAGAAGAGAAAAGAGAAGAAAAGAGAAAAGAGAAGAGAAAAGAGAAGAAAAGAGAAGAGAAGAGAAGAAAAGAGAAGAGAAGAGAAGAGAAGAAGAAAGAAGATCAGAGAAGAGAAAGAGCCAGAAGAAAGAAGATGCAGGTGCGCGAAAAGGTAGAAAAGTCGCGAATCAATGATTTGTGGCCCAGGAGGGTCGAAAAGTAGGCTCGCTAAAGCGGCGGGTGCGGAGCCATCTGGCCAGATGAGAGATGACAAATTGCACGCCGTTGTGGCGCGAAGCACATTTCGAAGACAAAATGCGCAAACCACCGCAGCTTCGGAGCACTTTTATTGAGATGTCGAAAAAGTGCATGCCGTTGCGGCGCGAAGCACACTTGGAAGTCAAAATTCACAAAACATACCATATTCGGAGCACTTTTGGAAGTTGAGATGTTCAAAAAGTGTACACCCTTGTGGCGCAAAGCACATTTCGAAGTCAAAATGTACAAAGCACCACATGTTCGTGCCGCTTTTGGACGTTAAAGCGTCGTTTTGTGTGGCAGGCGCAAGGGATTCTCCTCCCTGCCAAACGTGGGCAAAACGTGGGGATTTTTGTAGCAGGTTCAACTACAACCACCACAACACTACACCACACACTCCACTCCACTCCACTCCACTCCACTCCACTCCACTCCACTCCACTCCACTCCACTCCA